GAGATTTAAACCTACAGAGAAACAATATAGTATGTTCACCTAAATATGTTTTCCTTATTCACCCTCCTAATGTAGTTGGTGGGCTTTCACTGTAAGATGAAGTAATTTGGAGGTTGGGAGATAGGCTAATAAGTACTTAGGGTCAGTTCAGATTAGGAGCTGTCCAAGAATGCAGAACTCTCAGCATTCAGATGGGGAATGGTGAGCTGCCATTAAATCTTAGAATCCTCCACGGGCAGGTAGCATTTGGATCCAAATGCCACTAACACCTGAGTGTAAGGAAGCCCATGCCAGTGACCTACAGGTAGTGATACCCAAAGAGCCGATGCCACAAAGCCTCCTAGGGTCTTCTCTGTCCTTCCAGAGGCAGTGAGTGCCGTATATGGCCATGATATTGGCCTCTCCTCTTACCCCAAAGGCAGGGATGGATAGACATTAATTATATTTATTGGCTACTTCGTTGCCCTTGAGCTTCTGGATATTGGAACATGCATAAGAGGATTGTTGTAGTCATTATGGTTTTTAGAGTCCTCAATTATATAAAAGCAAGCCTCACCCATCACCACATCAGCAGAGCAGAGCAAATCTAGGCTCCTCCTGCAATTAAAATCCTACCACTCAGTAAGTTAGACCCAGCAATAACTGTATCTCTGAAAATGAAGGACCGGGTGAACCAGGGTGACATAATTCCCATCCCTCTGGCTGGTGTTGGTGATCTGGTGACCATTTCTAGCCCCATGAGGGAGCTGGGTGGGCAAGTGTTCTATAGAACCCCAGCCAGGCCTGGTTCCATCTCTCACCTGTCCTACAGGTGAAAAGCCTGACTGCAAGGATATCACCGCCAGGCTGCAGTACGTCAAAGTGGGAAACTGTAAGTCCGAAGAGCAAGTGGACATTCATTACTGCCAGGTGAGTTTCCCTGACTTTGATGAGGCCCAGTGGGGGGTGGAGCCTTCTTGTTTGGAGACTTCTCTTTAGTCACATTTCACAGGATGTGGGAAACTCACAGGGAGGAGGAGGGAAAAGAACTAGAAGCATTTTATGTTAAAGCAAGTGCTATATTGAATTAACTGGGAATTTTTGACCTCAGAAGAAAAAGAAAAAAAAACAGAAAAATTCAACAAGTTCTTCAAAGAAAATAGAGACTTATTTATGAAGCTGGGGGGTGGGGTGGGGTGGATATGTGTCCTGGAGATCAATCAAACGTGCATAGAAATTACAGCTAGAGGGATCTGGGTGTGGTGGTACCTAAGGACAGAGGGCATGTCAGACTTCCCTGAGACCTACCTTTAGAACAGCCTTGCTGTCCTGGGATTTCTGGGGAGGCCAGGGCTGCCCTGCTCGGAGGAGTGCAGGTCAGGGAAGCAGGCTGCCTCAGGGTCCTCCTTACCCCAGGCTTCTCCACCATCTCAGTGCCCTGCCCCCTCTCTGCTCCACTGCAGGGTCGATGTGACAGCAAAGCCCTGTACTCCATCGACACCGAGGATGTGCAGGACCAGTGCTCCTGCTGCTCGCCAACTCGGACAGAGCCCATGCAGGTGCCCTTGCGTTGCACCAATGGCTCCATCATCTATCATGAGGTCCTCAATGCCATGCAGTGCCAGTGCTCGCCCAGGAAGTGCAGCAAGTGAGGTTGCTGCTGCCATTGCTGCATGGACACCCGCTGCTGCCTGCCTCGGCCTGCTGGCCAGAGTGCTGCCTGGTCTTCTGTATGCTCTGCTCTCGTGCCCCACAACCCCGGGCCCACAATAAAGGCCAATGTCCCATCTTGCAAAAGGCTAATGGTTCACTGTGTCTTCCAGGGTGAGGCGACCAGGGTAGGCTGGGTGAGTGCAGAGGCTGGTTCTGGAGGAGCAAGCACAGGTTCCACTTGAAAACACTCCAGCCTCAGGGTCTGGGGGAGGCACAGCCAACCTCTGGGACAAAGTGGTGCCTTTGCATCCATGCAGCGCAGAGGGGAGAGGGGGCAGTGGGGCAGGCCTCCTGGGGGATTCGGCCCAGTGGCTTAGAGTCAAAGGGATCAGCTCAGGAACACTGGGTTCTCCAGTCTCTGAACCCTGAGCCTTGGAACAGAACAGAGGGGCGGGCCCTGGCTCAAGGCTCCCACTATGCAGACATGCTATTGCAAGAGAGGCCGGTGTCCTGGGGAAGGGGCTTGCCAGGTGTGCAAAGGTTTTTCTGAGCCCTTAGCTGAGTAAGTTCTCGTATACCCTCTGTGGTCCCTGTGGGAGGGAGAGGTGCTGCAGACTGAGGGGACTGCAATGGGGTGCTGGCAGGTACAGGAACATGGTCCCATCCCCCCAGGTTTGGGGCAGGCCTGGGTTCCCCATAAGGCCCTTACTCTCCTGGGCGGCTTCAACTAAGCCCCTTAGACTCAGACTCAATTTTCTCATCTGGAAAAAAGGGATGTGGGTCTTACTTAAGAGGGTTGGGAGGATACAATAAGCTTGGAAGTCTGGGGTAACTATAAATTGCTCTACAGTAATGTAACAAGTGACAAGAATAAAAACGGGGACATGGAGGCTGAAAAGGGGAAGAAGTGGCTCTACCATCAGTGTCGGAGCTCTGGGGATTTCCTCGGGTCTCAGGAGTGAAGAGCTGAGTTTCCTTTAGGCCCTGCCTACTCCAGCATCTCGTGGTGGAAGGAAGGAGGTACAGATAGCACCAAACACCCCCAGTCCCTGATCCTTGAGTGCTGCTGTCGCTCTCAAAGAGAGTGTCTCTCCTTAAAATCCAGGGAAAGGTTAATGGCAAGATGATGGAAAACCACGCAGATCATAAGCATGGGTGTGAAGAGAAGGTCTGGGTATTTGACAGGGATTCAATGGAGGACTGATCTTCATTCTAGACCCTTTTCACACACATAAGAGAGACTCAACTCATTGAAAGGATGATGGAGCTCAGAGAGATTTAGACATCATTCTAACTGCTGCCCTTCCTGTGCCCCTTTACTGAGGATGAAAGGGGCTCAGAGAACTCCAGTGAATTTTCAAAGGTCACACAGCTGCTGAGTGGAGGGACCAGGTTCAGAAGTCAGGTGCCTTGACACCTAACGAGGACTCCAGGGCACGCCACCAGAGCCACACAATCCCTGCTTCTTACAGATGCAGCCCTTGCTATCCAGGGAACCAGCAACTGCTGCATTTTGAGGCCTCAAGCACTTCTGTTACTGCTGAGGACCGATCTCAAGGGAATACACAATACAGGCAAATGGCACAGGCTGCATTAAACAGGTCTGGTGGGGAGTTTAGTGGGGTAGAGGGAAGGAAGAACGGATGGATAGAAGTTTTATATAACTGCTCAATAATTCAAAGGTTGTCATCTCTCCATCCATCACCCTGCCTCCAACACTGAGTAGCCTCTAAGGTCTCTGTAGGAAACCAGATCCAGTGCAGAGCATTACCTGTCTCTCTGCTGACTGATCGCCTAACGCTCCACCTGGGGATGAGGTATTACTGGAGGCATCAGCCACAGACAGACTCAGCAGACAGGCTGCCTCTTCCGCCTCAGGTGTCAACTTCCCAACTGCCTGACCCACCATAGCCTGCGTTTTTCCTCCTTTTTACTGATAGGGCAATTCACTATCAAGAAAAAAAACGGAATCAGAAAGGCTGCATGTTTGGATTTGAAACCAGTACCAGGGAGCAGGGGAAAAAGGATGCAGAGAGAAACCGGCGGAGGTCGTGGGGTGCGTCCCACAGGCCTCCCTCACTCCAAAGGTCATCCAAGGGCCTCGGGTCTTAGGGACTTTCTTTATTTGCTCACCCTCACACCAGATGAGACAGAGTCCCTAGAAGTGAGAGTTTTAGGGGGAGTCTTGAGGAGGGAGCATACAGGGACGAGGGGATAAGAAAGTGCTAGAGGGAGAGAAGCAAGGGAATGGGCACGGGAATGGATAAGGGAACTAGGGCGGAAAGTTCTCCACGTGTCTTGGCATTGAAAAGACTTGGAGGAGGTTCCTGGAAGTGAATGGGGGAGGGGCGCTGTTGGGAGGAGAAAGAAGCCGAATGGGGGACTGTTTGAGCACCAGACTCTGAAATAGGCTGCCTGCCTTGGGACCCAAGGGCCCATATTCTTAAAGGCAAATGGCTTGACCTTTTTGGTTTTTTTACACCATAGTCTCCTCATCTGTAAATGGGCATACTAGTGGTAATTACCTCATGGGTTGCTGTTGGAATCAAATAGCTACTGTGGGCTCCGGCATGGAGAAGGGCGCCTGTGGGAGGGGAAGCCCAGGGTAGCACACATCAGCCATGTTGGCAACCAGTGAGCAGAATGATGCTGGAGACTGGGCCCTGCACCTTACGGTCTCCCCTCTGCTCTGTCCCCGCCCATTCTCTGTTGTCTGCTCCCCTTTACTGCCTCAGACTCCTCATCTGGCAAGTGGGGAGATAACATTCTTCACACTGAAAGGTCAGTGGTCATAAACAGCAGGACTTTAACATCACACCTCTTCATTTTAGGGGTACTAAGGAATTTGTTTAGCCCCAGGGCATCTTGGAATTGTAGATTCTGTCATGAGAATGGCCCTTTGGAAGCCTCTACCTCCATCCCTTCGCCCCTGGCCAGGTACCTAACTGGTCCAGAGAGGCGGCAGCCCTCTTGTTTTGGGGACTGGCTTCCACTGGTTCCCTCCTCAACCCCGTCCCAGGGTCTCAGTTGGAAGGTCCTCTACAACCCACCCCTCCTCCCGTCCCGCTTCCTTCTGCTGTACCTATTCCTTGACTCCTGGCTCCTCTTAGTCCAGAGAAAGGTGGGAACAGCTGGTGGCAGTCCAGTGAAGGCAGGAGTGCAGGGAGCCTCTCCACCCCCACCCTGGGCATTTCCCTGGAGAGGGCGGAGGGAAGGAGGCTTTGCGGGTGGGATTGGCGACTCATCAGCCAGGCAGTTCGGGAGATAATCCGGCTGAGTATTCACACCCGGCCAAGGTTGTGAGGCACCTCCCCCCAGTGGAGGAGAGCGGGCAACACTTACTGCCTCTCCCCTCAGCTGCGTTACCCAGGTGCCCCGACTCAGCCCGACCACGGGAACGAGCTCTCCCTTGCACGTGGCACTGCCGGCGTCCGTGCGCCCAGCGCTCCGCGGGACAGCCCGGCGCGCTCGGCCTCTGGCGGCGCCCGCAGGGTGGCTCCGGCAGGGATTCGGGAGGAGGAGGCGGCGGCAGGCAAGGGGCGGGCACGTCCAGACCCAGCTGAGCCGAGATGGAATTAGCCCCGCAGTCGAGTAAGCTTGTCCAGCTGCGAGCGCCACAGCGGGGCGGTCCGGGCTTGGCGTCCCGTGTGCCCGCGCCATGGCCACCCCCAGGCCGCAAGGTGAGTGTTTCCCGCTGGGGACCCAGGTCCGGAACGTACCGCAAGTTGTAGGAGGGAGGGGGGCTGGGGGTGGAGGAACCGGCATCCCAACTCCTGCCCTTTGGGACCGGCGACCTCAGGTGAACCCGGAGAGAGGGTGGTGAGGGGAACAGGTAGACCACTGTCCCTCCGGGTAGGGGAGCAGAGGGAGGACCGAGCAATTTCCCAGTTTCATCGAGGAGAGAGAAGGCAGGACAAGAGGCAGAGGGCTGGTGCAGGGGCTGTTTTGGTGAGGGCCGACCAGTTCCCACCTCAGCGGCTTGGCCTCTCCGCGATAAAGTCGTTGGATGTTTCGTGTTGCTCAAACAGCCAGCAGAGTTTAATTCAGAAACAGTCTGTGAGGACAGAGGTTCGGACTCGGCCCCAGCAAATTCGACTTTGGCCTCTTTGGAGGCCAAAAAAGTCCCTCCAGTTTCAGGAAGTCCTCCAGGCCTCACCCAGCCCTCCCTCCGGGAGGGCACTTGCCTCTCAGAGCTCAGGGAGACCCAGGCATGTCTTTCCCCCTGTTTTTTCTTAGAAGAAAAGCAAATTATACTGACCTTGCCTGGAACAGGGCTTTGGTTGGGTGTCTTGTTCCCGTTCTTGAGAGAGTTGTGAAGTGGGGAGTTGCCCAGCGCATGGGCAGGACCAGTAAGCTGAAGGGACTGGAAGGTGGTGCCGCTCATAGTGCTTTGTGAGCAGGTAATGGAGAGACACCTCCAGGGACCACGGGGACCCTGGTCCAGGGTAGAGGGTCTCACTGAGCAAGGTTAGTTCTCAATCTGAAGGCAAGTGGCAGGTGGAGGGGGGATCTTAGACAAGGTCGAGGCCCTCCCAGAGGGTGGTGCCAGTCACTGCTGTCCGTCAGTCACCCCCCTGAGCTGCTGGCCATCCAGTCAATGCCCAGTTCCCTCCTCTCACTGTGTCTTGCTATATGCACCTGCCATTTTGGGAGCCAAGGACCTGATATGGTCCTTTCTAGCAACCTCTTATACTCTCCGAATTGCCTCTGATTGAAGAGGCTGTGTGAGGCGCAGGGTGGATCCCAGACAGCACCCTCAGGTTCTGGTCCAGTTCCCACGAGTTCCTTCTCTGCCACCTTTTTTTGTGGGGTAAGGCTGGAGGCCCAGAGGCACTGAGGCCTAAAGTGGAGCTTGTCTATCATTTTCTACAATGAGCCTGATTGAATGCCAAATACTGTGCTCAGTGCTGGACTTACAAAGATCAAGAAAGGCACACCTGCCTGTCTAGACCTTACGGTCTATATCCATGGTGCCCTAAGATGATCGAAATGCTTTAGCAGCCCCCTGTTGTTGGATACAGCAAGGAAGAGCTGGAGCCAAGCCGGGGCTTGCTCAGCCCACAGCAATGGAATTAGCCCTGTTTGTACTTCCGGTACTTTAAGATGGACCAGAGGTCTTCCTTGGACTCCTACTGACAACCTTGCCTTTCCTCCGGAAACTTTCAGAAAATAATAGATTTCTGTCTGGCCGACAACGTCCCATCCAGGTTAACTTCTGTGGAAACGAATGAAGGATGGCCATGCTCGGTCAGCTGGTGGCAGGTCCTCCTCCTGTTCAGTGAACCCAAGAGTGAAGCAGACTGTGAGGTCTTCTGACTTGTTGACAAAGCATAAATCCCGCCCTCACTGATGCCTGTTATTTATAACTGAGTTAAAAATAGCTTTTAAAAAATAATATATGTTCACACTGGGTGGTGTGGCTCAGTGGATTGAGCAGGGGCCTGCAAACCGAAAGGTTGCCGGTTCGATTCCCAGTCAGGGCACATGCCTGGGTTGGGGGCCTGGTCCTCGGTGGGGGGGCGCATGAGAGGCAACCACACATTGATATTTCTCTCCCTCTCTTTCTCCTTCTCTGCCCTCTCTAAAAAAAATAATAATATATGTTCATTGTGAGGAAAATTTAAATACAAATATGTAAAATAACAATAAGTTACTTGTTTTTACTATTTTGGTAATTATTCTTTGCCTTGTTTGCTTTTTAAACCATCATGATTTTTTTGCCTATATCAGATAAATATTTTTATTAGTCATCAAACATCTTAAAAGAAAGTAAAACTTAGATACAATAAAACTTTACATGAGGATAAATTAACAAATGTCGAATAATGAAGGATTGGGAGAATATTATTGTCATAAGACCAAGGCTAAGAATAGATACTGTAATTGAATAAAAATTTTATCTATGGTCTTCCTGACAGGCAGGTCAGAAAGGAGACAATAAGTTACATGGATCTCATTGTCTGATAAAAGGAGACTGGTTCATTAACATTAAATTTTAAAAAGACTGTCACAGTGATATTTGTGATATTTATGTAAGACATTGCCCAACCTAAGGAGCTGTAGTTTTATTAATAGGTTTTTAGAAAGTATATTATTTATCACATGGACACTTGTATTTGATTTTGTTTTAAAAGGATGTTTGTGTTTTATTCTTTTCTGATTCATTCTATCCTGTTATGTTTTTTAAAGTGCTGTTTGCAAACCATTGGATAACCAATCAATGAGGTATATCTATAATTTGAGGAGTAGTGTCTTGCAGCGTATAGAAAACTCAGTGGCTAGTCGTGCTTTTGGAGCGTGGCTCTCACCCTCTCTTTCCTCCCGTAAGTGAGAGGGGGATGCAAAACGCTTCCATCAGAACCAGTTGGTGTCCCGGTTTCCAGGTTCCCATTTCCCTTCAGGCTGAAGCATTTCTTGAACTGTCCTGCTGGCGTCAAATATTCTCGGCTTCAGTTTTTGTGAAGAGAGTCTCTATTTTAGCCTCAGTTTTGAATGATAATTTCACTGGGTGGATGTAGACTAATGGGTTGACAGGTTTTTGTTTGTTTGTTCAGCACCATGTAAGTGTCACTTTGTTGGTCTCCACTATATCAGTGAGATCAGCCTCAATTCATATTTTTATTTTATTCACTCTTTTGCTTATGTATACTACCTTTTTAACCTGGTAGCTTTCAAGAGTTTAGTTTTAGTTTTGGTTTTCAACAGTGAGACTGTTATATATGTGTTTAGGTGCGATTTGCTTTGAATTTTTTCCTGCTCATTTTTTTTTTTGACCTTCTTGAATCTGGAAGTTACTGTAGTTTATCAAATTTGGGGATGATTCCAGCCACTGTTTCTCTAAGTATTTTTCTGTTCTATTTTCATTCTCTTTTATTTACCAAACAGCAAGTACATGTACATTAAACTGTTCGAGGTTGTCCCATAGGTTTGTGAGGCTCTGCTAATTATTTCTTCAATCTTTAGTCCTTTATTCTCTGAACTGCATAATTTCTACTGATCTGTCTTTAACTTCACCGATCCTTTTTCTGCTTTCTCCAGTTGCTGTTAAGCTCATTCAGTGAATTTTTTAGGTGTTATAATGTTCAGTTCTAGGAATGCCATTTAAAAAATAACAGCTCTATTGAAGTAAAATGTAGCTTTTAAAAGTGTACCATTCAGTGATTTTTAGTATATTTACAGAGTTGTGCAACCACGCTCTAATTTTAGACCACTTTCATCATCCCAAAAATAAACCTCATACTCACTGGCAGCCTTTCACCTTTCCCCCACCCTCCAGCTCCTGGCAACCGCTAATCTACCGGTACTTTCTGTCTCCGTGGATTTTCCTGTTCTGGACCTTTTATATGAATGGTGTTTGTGTTTGGGGGTCTTTCATTTAGCATAATGTTTTCAGTGTTTAGCCATATTCTAACATGTGTAAGTTCTTCATTTCCTTTCATGGCTAGATAATATTCTCTTGTATGGATACACCACATTTGTTTATATATTTATCAGTCGATGGACATTTGAATTTCTACGTTTTGCTACTATAAATAGTGCTGCAATGAACTTTCAGGTACCAGGTTTTGTGTGTACGTAGTTTTTATTTCTCTTGGGTATATATGTAGGAGTGGGACTGCTGGGTCATATGGAAATGCATGTTTAACTTTTCCAGGAACTGCCAGACTGTTTTTCAAAGTGGCTGCACCATGTTACATTCCCAGCAGCCGTGTAGAGGGCTCTGCCTTCTCAACACCCTCACTGACCCTTGTGTTTGCTCTTTTTAATGGTGGCCATCCCAGTGGGTGTAGAGTGGTATCTCACTGGGGTTTTGATTTGCATTTCCTAATGATTCATGAATGATGTTGAACATTTTTTTCGTGTGCTTATTGGCCCAATGTATATCTTCTTTGGAAAAATGTCTACTCAGATTTGCTCATCTTTAAATTAGGTCATTTGTCTTTTTATTGTTGAGTTGTAAAAGTTCTTTATATATTCTGGATGCAAGTCCTCTTTGTGGTATATGACTTACAAATATTTTCTCCTGATCTCTGTGTTCACTTTACTAATGGTGTCTTTTGAATCATTTTTAATTTTTAGGAAGGGCAATTTGTCAATTTTTTTTATTGTGCTTTTGGTGTAATAGCTAAGAAACCTTTGCCCCAGCCAAGGTTATAAAGATTTACTCCTATGTTGTCTTCTAATAATTTCACAGATTTAGCTGTTGCATTTAGGTTTATAATCCACTTTGGAAAAGTTGACTTTGATGAATGGTGGGAGGAGAGGGTCCAGCTTCATTGTTTTGCACGTGGACATGCACTTGCCCTGGCACCATTTCCCCATTTCTCTCCCCACTTCTTGCTACCCTTGTTGAAATTCAGGGGCTCATTTCTGGAACCCCAGTCCTGTCTGTTGGTCTGTGTGTCTGTCCTTATGTCAGTTCCGCAGTGGCTTAGGGGTATGTTTTAAAATAAGCAAATGTGAGGACAGTTACGTTTGTTTTTGTTTACGTTTTTAGTTTTATTTCTGTACACTCCTTAAGAGTGTACTTATCTTTACTATGAGAACATATGTTAGCTGCTTTAAAGTCTTTGGGCTTTACTGAGATCAGTGTGTGTGTGAGAGATCAAGTCCTATTTATTTTAGAAGCATAAACAGTGGAACTAGGAAGGAGGGATGAGAACAAGATGCCTGTCCCCTG